CAGTAATAGTAATTCGTTGCCGATCTCTAGGAGAACCTCCGCTAGAAAGTGTCGGTGGAGAGCAAGATTTAACCAAATTAATTAAACCAAAAAAAAAAAAAAAATAATAATAATTACTACCATAGATGAATACAGACAATAAACGAAGACATAGTAAAAATTTTGATTTTTGACAAAATGGCGTCTTGCCAAAAAAAAAGTGGCTTTTTGTTGCAAATTTTTACACTTCAAAGCGGCTTAAAAAATTGAAGTTATTCCGTCAGCATTAACTGACAAATACATATACATATATATATATATATATATATATATCTGATCTGTATATCTAAGAAAGTAGTGTGAAAATTTTAAATCACCCGTCTAGCCATTTCGTAGAAATTTTGCTCAACAACGGTGAAAACAGCGTTTCGAAAAATATGCGTTTAAAGTTATTGGTGCCGATTACAATAAGTTAAAAAATTCTTGCAAATACGCTCATACCTTCAAAACGATTTGCCGGGCCAACTTCAATTTTTCGGAGAATATATATTTACATTCGATATATGTACATATATGCAAAATTAAAAATCGATTTTTTGAAATTCGCTAGTGAATAGAACCCCATAATTAAGATATGTTAGTTAGCTATTTTGACAATTCTTCGATACCAGTTGCCACAAATCAGACGCGTTATTTGTGTTAGGTTTTGTTTTGATATCTTCATTGTTCCTTCATTTATTCGTTATAGTTCGAATTCGTCCATTTCAAATATCCACACCTATTGTCCGATTTTCAATTACGTTCAAAAATTTTCAAACTAACGGTCCTTTGCACCAAATTAGGTTTATTTTTCCTTAACTTGTGAAGACGTGTACCTAGTTTTGTCTAAATTACTCACAATAGACGAACAATGGAAGCCGTCACGTCATTTTGACCGTTTCTTATAAATAATCATATTTATTAATCTCTATTAGCTTTGAGTGCTTGGGATGTGTCAATATTTAAGGTTAGAGTTAGATGTCTATACTGACAAACATCAAAACTGTTTAGGAGAAACTCGAGCAAGAATCAGAGATCATATATATCCACATACATATACATTTTCCACTTATAGAAAAAGTATACATATGGAAAATATGAGGATGTATATATTATGCCTCACAAATTCGGTCCACAAACCATAGATTGTACAGAATTTCCAGTACATAGGTCCTTATATCCTTGATATTGCAGATATTTTCTGTATAAGGGCCTTAGGATATTGGGTTTATTAACCGGTATTCTCTGAATGCTTTCGAGGAGGACATTTGCTTGTTTTCGGTTGGCTTAACCAATAAAATTTCATATCCATTTAGTTAGAAAATCCGCAAGGCTTTTCAAAAAGTTAATGTCGTATATAGTGCGGACTTATTAGAAAATCTATAAAACAAATAAATTATTGTAGATTAATACCTTTATAATTATTCGTAAATTCAAATTCGGTAAATTAAATCACTAATCCAAATGAAAAAGTTATTTGTATTGGTTTTTAGCAGTTTTACCTGATTTGAAGATGTTGTTGCTACGAAATATTCTTAAATCGTTTATAGTATAAAAGGATTATACCTATAAATAATAAATTATAGGGAAAATAAATAAATACCAGTATTATTTTAGGAATTTCATTTTATTCAAAATTTGTTCGTCATCTTAATAATTTTAATGTTTGCGTTTGTTTTGTTAAATAAATAGTTTTTTAAGTAAATGCTATGACATATTTAGGAAAATTTGAGTTTATAACTGTAATTCAAATATTTGCAATATATGGCAATAAAATTATCCGCGGGCAGTAGCAGCGACATTGGATCTCTCTCCTTTTTTGATGTAATGGCAATTTAATTTCTTGAAGCGCTTTAAAGTTATGATAATCTGAGTTCTTTATTTCGTTTCTCTAACTTCGTCAAGATATCTCTTTTTCCTTACTCTTATGCCAGACTTGAAAGAGTTCATAGCGAACACCTAAAGTAAGGTATTTCGAAATACAGCAAGCAAAGATAGATAGCATTGGCCAATGGCCTTAATGATACTTAGATTGTTACATCAAAGTTCATATAATATACATAAACATATATATGTATAAGTGTAAAATGCATATTTTTTGGTAAGAATTACTTTTATTCAAATACTGTTACATTAATTTCTATATTTCAATCACATATATGTCTAAATAAATAAATATTAAACTAATTTAGGTAAAAATATATATATATTTGTTGTACAACAAGGGAACATGTTCAGTTTATCCCTTCAAAGTTGCAGCAACATTGGCTGCCTGTTGAGCCACAGCGATGGTCTGGATGCTGGCATCTCGTGTATGTTGACCGACGCGCTCCTAAAATTTAAGAAAGGAAATTAAGACTATATAATAAAAGCATCTTATTGCCGAATACACTTTAAAAAACATATATTTTTTTTAGCTATTTTTTCTAACTTACAATTTTCTTGCCAATCTTTTTTAACCAACCCGCCTCAGTTTGTCCAGCGAAGACGGCAATGAAGACAGCCAAAAGAATGAAAATTTTGTTGAAGTTCATTTTATTTATGTATGTAGTTTTGTTTGCTTGTATGAAAGGTTATTTAAGCTGGATGTGCTTCCACTTTCTTCGACGTTCGAATTGTGTTTATTGTTAGTTCACTGGCGCACCTTTGCTTTTATAGTACATCGGTGATACAAAGCAAACGGCACCTTTCCTTATCAGCGCAGTGCCGGGGATTTCTTTCTATACTAGTGCAAGTATATCTGTATATTTGTATATACTTACAGCATCATTTAAATTTGCTGCTTAACTTTTGGGCAATTAAAAATTTAAATAAAATTTTAGACTTGTCTACACTTCCATATAAAATTAGGTACATAATTTTTATGATTTAGTATTAAATTTATTTAAAATGCAGTAGAATTATTGAAGCTATGCTCATCACATTATATTAATTTAAATTTCAATGTATGTATAAATGAAGCATAAGCTAAGTGATTTAGCCTACTAAAGCAGTTAAGATGGAAATATGTACTTATCATAATCTAAGGATACATTAAGTACACTGTATCGGATGTAAGTTTAGTTCGGTAAAACTTATTCTTCTTCTTTAGTATTAACTTTGTGGTTTATTTTCCAAAAATTAGTATGTTGCCAGAAAATGTAGGTTTTAAGATATATGTATTTATATTTTTAATTTTTTCAAGAATACATTAATTAATTTATTTATAAAATGTATTATAACTAGTTCTCACATAAGCATGACCTTTCGCCAATCCGGTCGTTTACCACGATTTGTTTCACGTAGACGCACGAAAACAGCGAAGCTGTATTCTCTATTGATCGTTTGACTTTGTGAAACAAATTCATGGTGAATAACACGACGCTAAACAAAGGAAACGATAAGCATCACCTTGATTTTTGACAACGCGGTTTTTGCCGTTTCGGCTCATTTTTGGAGCTCCATTCTTTATACGCTAGGACAATTTCAATGTCATTTCAGAAACCCATGTCTCGTCACCAGTTTTATGAATGTGGGGTTCTCAGCTAAGTTGCCTAGCATATCTTTTGCGATCTTTTCGCGACATTGTTTTTGCACAAGATTCAGTCCTTCTGGTACGCTTCTAGCGTCGACCCAAAACATTAACCAACATTTGTTAAATTGATCCATAAAAAATGTTGAGATCCTCTGCTATCTTTCAAATGTCAACACAATACTGATCACAGGCACTGTTTCGTTCGACTCGCATGAGGCAAGTTTTTCATGACTTGACGGCCATCAATAAAGGCTTTGTGACTGACTTGACTTCTGACACGAGTCAAATTCGACCAGATGGTGCATATGTACATATGTCAAACATCGCCTAAACGACGAACGATGGGAAATCATCACTTCTATAGTATCTAAATTTATTCTTTCACGTATTTGCATTAAAATAAGGACGAAAGTCCCACGAAAAGCTATTAAAACGTAAAAAATTTTTTTGAACCGCTATCTTCAACATTTCCACCGAAGTGGTGAGTGCTAAACTATTTCAACGAACACACAAATATAATAAAATATATTGCACTAGTGCATACAATTAAAGCTAAGCTTGTCTTCTTGTTTTCTTATCACTTGAATTCTAGAACAGCATCTGTACAAAAACCCCCTTTCTTTAGGCTTCACGTACGTCAACGTCGATCCCTTTTATGGTATAATGTAAAGTAAAAAAGTAATGAATTGACTGGAGGTCAGTCAATCATTCAATTATCTCTATTCGTTGTATTCGCTTCAACCACGAGGAATACAAAAATCGTGGTAATCTTTGCTGTCTGTTTGCTTATTGCCGCTGTGGGAATCACACAGGCCGATTGGTTGGACGATCTCAATGAGGGAACTGTGAGTTATTTGTTTAATGCACTCATATCTTCCGGTATTAATTTTATGTGTTTTCTTTTTCAGTGGTTAATGCGGTGAACGAAAATGCGGAAAAGATCAATAAAATTGCTACAAATATTGATGTTCTTGGAAAGATATTAAGAAATTTGGATCCAGATACGAAGGAGGAGGAAAAAAGTTTTTAATTGACTGTAATTTTTGTTAAATTATTTTTAAAAAGTAGTGCTAAAATATTGTTAAAAAATTAAAAATAAATATTTTATGTTGGTAAAATCTTTTTGTTTTGATTTAATTTAGTATTTTTAAATAAAATAGTTACATACAGGTATTTATAAGTATTTTAATATTTTTCACTGCTAATTTGCATTATTTATATATACTTTGGTTTCTGAATGTTTTGCTAGTTATTGGTAGTTCTCAACTTATGTTTTCCAACAAATTATTATTATGAGTCAATTTCTAAAGTTCCAATCAAAATTTTTTTGGCGGGGATTTTGATTTGCAGCTTGGTTCCCCGACATTTGGGAACAACAAATGAAATGCACACGCAAATAAACCGTTCCGTTAACGTACGTAAACGAATTGTGTAATTAGCTTAGCTCTGCTTCATTCATAAATATTTTTGCAATCTATAATAGCATTCATAAAGAAAATTATTAAATGACCCAGCAGGGAAAATATTAACTAAAATTTGTTGACACTATGAAAAAAAAAATCTATCTTTATTGTATCCTGAACAGGGTATATTAAGTTTGCCACGAAGTTTGTAACACCCAGAAGGAAAAGTCGGAGACCCTATTAAATATATTTGTATATACGCGAACTAGTCGTTCAGTTATTGCGATTTCGATCAGAAATTAGGCATATGCCCTTTTCTCCTAAATAGTCTGCTCTTTTGCCGCCATCGCCGATATTGCACCACTATAGCATATAAGTCATACAAACTGAAAACTCTAAATAAAATTTTTGTATGAAACACGTTTTTCAATTTGACAAGCTATGTTTATAAAACTCGGCACGAATTATTGTGCAAGACAACGCTATAATCTCCGAATAAATGGTTCAGATCTGATCACTATAGTTTATAGCTGCCATACAAAATGATCGATCTAAATCGAGATAAACATCTTTTTATACCAATTTATGCTATAAGAAATGCACCTGTCAAGGGTTATGGTCTCGGTGCAGCCGAAGCTAACGTTTTTTCATGGTATTTTTTATGGCTTTTCGTGGATAATTATGCATTTTTTTAAATACATTATGTTTGCTAGAAAAACAATATTTGTTTCGATCTATTTTTTTATATTTCGAACATAATAAATAAGGTAGATATCATTTGGGGGGGCGAAATGTTACTACACTTGATGAAGTGCATGTCACGACGCTTTGAAATAAACATTTTGTTATATAAAAAAAATTTTTATATCGATAGTTTAATTTTCCTACTGGGTCATTGTGCGAATAATTAATTAAATTGTTTTTACATACCATACATACGCACGCTTCGATGTACGAAGTAGTCGTAGTTTCACTATTTTTTTAATCATTTTTCTTTCATTTGTTCGTTTCATTTCGTATTAATTTATATTTGTTTACTTTTCATTCAACAACATAAAAAAATTAATCGATCTGTTTTTTATTTGAAAATTATTGGCGAAATATCATTTATATTTTTCTTGGTATTAGGTGATTCCTCTTAAGCCGCATTTTTTCCTTTATGGTTAGTTTTTATAATAGTAAATTTTTTTTAAACTCTTGTTGATGGAAACTTAATATTTCATATACGCCAGCTTGGGAAACAACCGCTCAAATAACCCTTGATAATATTTTTAAATAGATCAATTTCATTATTCGATAGTTTATACCTTTGAAAATAACATAGCTTTTGAGTTACAGCCATTTAAAGTATAGCCGCTCAGTTCAATTTGAAATTCCATGAGTTTATCTTTAAACCTGTTTTTCTCGAAACAGCATTTTTTGAATTTGCTGCAGTGATAACTCAAAGACAAATGATTCGATCATCATGAACTTTTTGTCTGCCTTTCCTACATTTTGGTAGGCTCAAAAAAAAAAAAATTTTGGTAAAATTCAACTTTAAAACTCCGCCATTTTGTAAAGTTTTTTATTTTACTTTATTGTAGGCCACTTTACGGAGAATATCTTCTAGTCAAACGAAGTTTTTGTATTTTTAGGTTTCACCCACGGAGACGGCTGGAATCATCGCAGCGGTGAAGGACCTGTTTGTTTTAGGGCCGTCGAAGACCTCGTATCTCTCAAAAAATATTTAATTTTTTTTCACTGTTTATTCTTGAAACATGTATAAGTATACCCTGGAAATTTCAAAACAATCGATGAAGTAGTAGTTTTTAAATCCCGAAAATCGACGTTTTTGTCACACAAGGTGTGCCCCTTAAGGATAAACATGAATAATACATCATGGACATTACATTTAATTTTGTTCACACTGAATAAAAATTGAAATATTTTGTTCAATGTCAAAAAAAATTGTTCGGAAAAGAAAGTTCGAAAACATTTGTATTATTATAATATAAGATTTAATGTAAAATCATATGACATATATGGATAATTTAATATTTAAAAACGTGTGTTATATTTTTCAGAAATTTTAGTTTTATTCAAATACTTTTATTTCAATTTCCAGAAATCAGTCACACAATTATCTAACTAAATAAATATTAAACTTAATTTAGGTACGTAAATATTTGTTGCAGCAACTTCCAAACAGTTTCAGTTAACCCTTCAATGTTGCCGCAACATTCGCTGCCTGTTGAGCCACAGCGACGGTCTGGATGGTGGCATCACGAGAATGTTGACCGACGCGCTCCTGAAATTTAAGAAAGGAAATTGAGATTAGTTAATAAACGCTTCTTGTTAAGGAACATATATTGACACTTGTTTCACTTTTGACTAATTATTGAAGACTTACAATTTTCTTGCCAATCTTTTTCAGCCAACCCGCCTCAGTTTGTCCAGCGAAGACGGCAATGAAGACAGCCAAAAGAATGAAAATTTTGTTGAAGTTCATTTTATTTATGTATGTAGTTTTCTTTGCTTGTATGAAATATTATTTAAGCTTGATGTGCTTCTACTTTTTTCGACGTTCAAATTGTGTTTATCGATAGTTCACTAGCTCGGCTTGGTTTTTATAGCACATCGGAGATACAAAGCAAACGACACCTTTCGTTATCAGCGCGTGGTCGGGGATTTCTTTTCACTCACTGAAGAGACTAGCAATGTTGCTAAATATGTATGTGTTACCAGCATCATAAAATTTTTCATTACAGTGGGAAACGGTAGTTTTGTTTGACGTTTCTTATCCTATATTGTATGATTTTACCACGCTGATTCCATATCTGTAGTCAGTTTTTCTCTAGCAGCTCTAGTTTTCGAAATATGAACATATTACATTTTTAGTCAAAAACAATACAATTTTAGAATTAGAAAATATATTGCTCTTAGTTTACATGAAAAAAACTTTCTTTTATATGCTTTTCTTGCATGAGTAGAAACATCAGTCTTATTTTGAATGCTCCAGCAGTAATCAGCTATCATATTCACATTTTCTGTGAAGTATTCTAAATGGAAAAAAAGGAAGTGCATCTCAATGCTCATGTTACATCTTAGTCTCTGCGAGAGCAACATGAGCTGCTCAATGTGTTGAATGTAGTCAAATAGGCCTTTTGTATAGAATCAACCGCATTTAAACGGCATTCTCTAAATATATAGTCACCACAAACACTATTCGGATCATTTAAACAAGTTCTTCTTAATGTAGATAATAATAAACCGCTTTTTATTTATGAAATTTAGTAATTTTTTGCCCTAAAAATTAATTCAAGTAAGCCAAGTTACGATATTTCAAGAAGTAAATGCATCACTAAAACTAGAGCTGCTAGAAAGAAACTGAGGAAAGATTTGAAATCAGCAACGTCAAAATAGCAAGAAGCACTTTATAAACTTCATAAAACAAAAAAGTTTAATTTTGCTATCCAGTGTTATCAGTCTTCGGGTTAATTTGTGGAATTAAAAATATTATCTAGACAATTTAACCGAATATGTACAAATATATTCTTATTTGAAATAATTATTATTTTCATTCAGTAGTATGTGTATTCCAGGTAAATAAATATTCTCACTTAAACATATATTGTATGGTACATATGTACATATTGTATGTGACAATCAGCAATGTCGAATATCCGAAAGCGAAGACTTGCTTACTTCAAAGTTTAGATTTCAGATTTTTTAGAGAAGCTGGAGACTTCTTGTTCCAAGTAAACCACAATTCTGATATTTTTTTGTTGGTGAAAACATTTCATAATTTGGGGGAAAATTCAGATATCTGTGTTTTTCCTATCGGGAACTTAATATGAGAAACATCTTCCGTACTCGAAAATTTGCCCTCATCGTAGATGTAATTTTTGTATGTGAATCCATGAAACCTGTTCTCAAAATTGATAATGGAAAACAACTATCAATAAAGTGTAAGCATACTTTATTAACTATTTACTTGATTTTACAACCTTTTTATATGAACTAGGCTCTATTAACAAAATACAGTTGACGTTTTTGGTCAACAGTAAATAGTTCCAATAGCAAGTGAACCATCGAAATCGATTTCATAATGAAAAAAGTTAACGATTTTCAATTTGCCATCCAATGTGGGGTTATATAATTAGATTAAATTAAATATTTTAACATATATTGGTGTTATTGTCCATAGTACTAGTGTTACTTGTCGCATCATGTCATACTATACGGCGCTGAAAACGTGTTTATTCGCGCTAAAAGGTTGTCCTTGATAGTTTTTCGATTGATTGACTCAGTGCGTTGTGAGCGCTTGTCAAAGATGGACACCAGCAAAGAGAAAATTCGCTATATTTTACAATTTTTCTTCGATCAAAGCGAAAAAGCAGCCAAAGCGGCTGAAAACATTAATTTAGTTTATGGGCCCGATACTGTAAACGAACGTGTAGCACAAAAGTGATTTGCTAGGTTCCGTTTCGGTAATTTCGATGTCAAAAATGCACCGTCACGTGAGCACTTATTTAATTGCTGAGGAAATAAAGATAAGCCAGAAAACCGTTTGGAACCATTTGCATAACCTTGGATTCAAAAAGAAGCTCGATGTTTGGGTGCCACACGAACTAACGCAAAAAACATAATGGACCGAATTTCCATCTGCGAATCGCTGCTGAATCGCAACAAAATCGACCCGTTTCTGAAGCGGATTGTGACTGGCGATGATAAATGGGTCACTTACGACAATATCGAGCGCAAACGGTCGTGGTCAAAGCTCGGGGAAGCGGCCCAGCCGGTGGCCAAGACCGGATTGACGGCCAGGATGGTTTTGCTGCGTGTTTGGTGGGATTCGCAAGAAATCATTTACTACAAGCTGCTCCCCTATGGCCAAACGCTCAATTGAGCCCTCTACTGCCAACAACTAGACCGCTTGAAGGCAGGACTCATCCAGAAGAGGCCACCTATGATCAACAGCGGCCGAATTGTGTTCCATCAGAACAATGCCAGGCCACACACGTCTTTGGTGACGCGCCAGAAGCTCCGGGAGCTCGGATGGGAGGTGCTAATGCACCCACCTTATAGTCCGGACCTGACACCAAGTGATTACCATATTTTCCTGTCCATGGCGAACGCGCTTAGTGGTGAGAAGTTGGCCGCAAGAGAGGCCTGTGAAAATTGGCTCTCCGAGTTTTTTGCCAATAGGGACGCAGCGTTCTACGAGAGGGGTATAATTAGGTTGGCAATAAGTTTACGGACAAAACGGCGCATATTTGACTTAAATCGGACAAATGTACACAAAGTTATCATCTTTTGAAAAATCAATAAAAAACCGAATGAACTTTTTACTTTACCTAATATTATATATCCCCGCATACATGGTGTACAAATGAGAAATCTTTAAGATTGACACAAAATGTTGCACAATCTTAATAAAATATGTCGACTAAAAAGATAACCGAAATTTTAATTTTCATATTAATTGTATCTCTTCTTATATTTGAGTGAACAATAAAAAGATGAAAATCGGATCAAATATTTGTTATCCTCCTAAGTACTCTAGCAGATTCTCAATGCTGTTGTTGACAGTCTTTGACCTTGAAACTTTTTAGAAAACAAACATTTTGTTCTTAGCGAAATGAAACATAAAATATTTAGTATTTGGTTTATTTTTTCATTTCTTGCATAAAATATGATGAAAAAAGAATATTTATGGTTTACAAATCAATAAATTTTTCCTTAAAAGAAAGTTAATTCTATCAATTTTTAATAATAATAATGCGTATAAAAGTAAAAAGAATTTATTTTTGTACTATTAATTTAATATCAGTCACAAAATGATCTAACTAAATAAACATTACATTTCATTGTTTGTTGTATCAGCTGGCTGGTTCATCCCTTTAATGTTGCCGCAACATTGTTCGCCTGTTGAGCTACGCCAATGACCTGGATGGTGGCATCTCGAGTTTGTTGACCGATGCGTTCCTGAAATTTTATGAAAAGAAAAGGAAATTCATAAATGTTTTGTAATTTAATAATTTGTAGAGAAATATATTTTAGTTTAGAGAATTTGTTGTAGACTTACAATTCTCTTGCCAATCCTTTTCCACCAATCTGCTTCTGTATTATTCGCCGTTCGAATTGTGTTTATTGAACATTCGCCAGCTTGAGGTTGTTTTTATACTCGTTGTACGCGAACAGTGGAAATACAATCAAGTGCCACTTTTCGTTATCAGCGCGTTGTCGGGGATTTCTTTCTATGGTACTCAGCGCAAGCTGGAATAGCTATATACATTCATATTACTGCTCCATATAAAATTTTGATGATCAATATTTGTGTCCTATAACCACGCCATAGAACGTTCTGAATTTCCATAACATCTCTTAAGTTTCATATATGGAATCTACTGGTTTCCGTTATTCTGTCTGACAATCGTACACCATACATATTGGTCAGAACTAGCTAATACGCCGAGTGTGATACGTTTGTCATACTTTGTTTTGATTTGTTTGGTTGTCGTTATGTTATACCAATATTCAGTCAATTCAGTAAATTTTGGTGACTACAGCTTTTTCTTTTATGCTTTAATTAAAATTTTCGAAGAGGGTCGACACTCTGAAAGAAATTTCGGATACCCTATAGAAGGTATATATAAATGACTGATCTGTCTGGAAGTAATCAGCGGTGTTGTGGAATCCAAGATAGATTTGCGTAGTTGTCAGAATTGCAAACCAGTTCTGGAAGAAAAAAGTAAAGTAAAAATTAAAAGGAAAATATTAAGAGATCACAGTAATCCACTTGATGCACCAGGGTAATTGCATGTGATATTTGGCTTGCATTCGCTTGTATGCTTGTAGACATGCATACTTTACAGATTTATATCACATTATCGACTGTATAAACACGCATTTGGGTGTTAAATTGCGTTTATTACGTTTTATAAATCGTCTTAAAGTATCTGGATTTATTCCATAAACTCAATAATTATGACATTTTGTGTTTTATTCTTATGTTTTCTTCTATAGAAATAAAGATAAATTAAATCGTAACACTAATATAAATTAATTTCTTAACTTACATTTCAAATCTGTCAGCGACTATCCTCTTGCTTTGTTAAAATTGGTTTCCGTGACACCCAAAACCGATACAATTTCCGTTTCGAACGTCAAAGCAATAATATCTCAATTCATGACACCTACTACATTTTTTTATCGGCTTCAATTCTGTTTCCGACAACTATCAGGTTGTACAACACTCTCTCTATTATCGAGCTGCATACAAAGTGATCGGTCAAAATCGAAGTCTTGTATGGAAATATTTTGTTCAGAACGGATCACTATGCTATACATATATGTAGCTGCTATACAAACTGACTTACTAAGAACGCGTAAAATGTTTTAAATTGGATGCAAAACGTTGGACGGTTACGATTTCAGATTTAGTTATGCATATAGTCGCTAAAAGAAATACACATGTGAAGGGTATTATAGCTTTGATGCAGCCAAAGTTAACTTTTTTCTTGTTCTGCTTAATACTAAAAAGTGGCTCAATATTCGTATTATAATCAGTAGCATGAGATTTCATTTAGCACACTAGGTGTTTCGTTCCGGTTAATCAAATTTGTTACCGTGTCTAATTTGTATATTCTCAAACCGCCCTAAAGAAATCTTTAAAAATCTGAAACATTCGTGTTGAGACGCTATTTCTAGCAAAAATTCGTTCCGTTATCCATTACATTCGTAAACGTCGCATTCCGTTTTGAAAAATAGCAGTTATCTCGAGGCATCAAGCATTCATCTCAAAATGATTATAAAAATGATGATAATATTTGGTGCTTTTCTGCTTCTTGCGGGCGTGGAATGTCAACAGCGGGACTTTTTTGGCAGTCTCACCAAAGGCGCTGTTAGCTGTTGACTTATTAAACTCATATCTTTCGATATTGATTTAAAGTGTTTTTCTTTTTCAGTCTCAACTTACAGACTTGCTGCAAAAGAAAACGGAACTCACTAAGAGTGCTGTTAGTAATTTGCTTAATACATTCAAATACATCGGTTTAATTTCAAGTATTTTCCTTTTCAGACTGATTTGCTGCAAAAGAAATTGGATTTAATAGACCAAGCGTCTAAAACTGCTGATATGTTTGAAAAGATGTGGAAAAGTTTTTATCATGATTCTAAATGAAATTAATAAATTTTTATTTGTTGTGTATTAGTAAAATGCATTTTTGAATGAAAATAAAAATAAATCCCTAGATAATGTATGCTATTGAAAACTTTGAGAACAGTTAGTTCCAGTGAATTTAATTTCTAACCGGTTTAAAATGATTCTGAAGAAAAGTTTAATATAATGTATCGAAAAGGTTTGTTTGCTCTTAGAATGATAGAGCGTTGTAAGATTAAGTTATTTTAAATGAATATGAGGAATTTAATTTCTTCTGCTAGAGCGTAAAGTAATAAGTTTTGAAAAATGATTTTTTGAATATTATAACAATACTGGTTGATTAAAGCAGTTCTTAAATTATAATTGTAATTCTCAAACGATCGTTTTTTAACGAATTAATTGTACGATTAGGGAGTCTGTATATTTAGGTAAAAATATGGCGATCTTTTTATAATCATGATTTAATGCTTTAAATAATTTCCCAAATACAAAATTATGTATAACAAAATTACAATCCATTTTTAAAAATTTTATATTTTTCCTGCAGCCGTTCTCCAGGAGGACCTCCGAAAAAAATTTCTGTTGGTGAGCAAATATCTAGAATGCAAAAAACCAAAAAAACGTGCCAGCTTCCCAAAAAAGTATTTTTTGTGAAAAAATTGTCACCTTAGTTTGGTTTAAAAATATGTAATTATTATAAAAAATCTTATTTTTTCAATCATTACCTCACAAATATATCGAAGAATCGTGTGACAATTTCAAGTTGATCGTTTCATCCGTTTCAGAGAAATTTTTCTAACAGACTTTCAAAACAGTGGTTCGAGAAAACGCGGTTTAAAATTTTCGGAACCAATTACAGTGCATAAGTTAAAAAATGTTTACAAACACATTTATAGTAAATTTTATGAGTAAAGGCACGTTTCATTCATAAATGCGTTTATACTTACAAAGATATCTTCATTAATTGTTGATTGCCCTGTAGGAAAATTATTAATTAAAATTTCCCTACAAACGAAAACATCAAATTTTGAAATTTATTTTCGAATAACTTTCGTCGGGCGAGGTATTTTTGGTACTTTTTTATATAATATATTTTATATTTATATTCGTATATATTCACACAAAAAATCTTTTTGATACCTATGTAACTCGAGATTTTTAAACAAATCAACTATTTAAAGTTGTTATATATATTTTAAATATTATATCAATATTATCTATGAAACCATAAGAATGATGCCATCATTAATTGTTTTGTTTTTAAACATTTTAAACAAGATTGTACGTTGCTAAAGTTAAAAATATATAATAAATAATAATAAGGTACTTTTCTTTATTTAAAGTAGTCAGTTTAATTTTAACCTGTTTTGCTAGAACAATGCTTAAATTTTCCTGCAAGGTACTTGTGCGCATAATTAACTTTAATGGAGCTACATGCACGAACACATATTTACGTGTGTGGATAAATGTTTGTGGTTTCGCTATTACTTTCAATCATATTGCTATCTTTTGTTCGTCTCATTTGTTAATAATTATTATTTTTTACTTACCATTCAACAATACAAATTAGTTGACCCAACTGCTTATTATTCGCAAATTATTGCTGAAACTTCGTTGGCATTGTTTTTCTAAGTATTCGGTTATTCCTTTTTAACCAAGTTTCGTGATTTTTCAGTTCTGCTTTCTTCAAAATGTTTAATATGATCAACTTTTGTTAATTGAAACCCAAAATTTGATACACGTCATTTTGCGAAACACCAGTTGATTCAACACTTGGTAACTAAATAAAAAGTACATTAAAGAACCGGATTTCGGTCTGTGCGCTCATACAATTTTTAAAATTGAGGATTTTTTTTCGAATATATCTTGCTGTCCAAACATTAAATAAAAATACTATGCGTGTGTCCTATGTTCTATGTTAAGTTCTGAGCTATATTCGAATTCGTATTAGTCAATCGATAAATACTTGTATGATATGACTTGAACAATTGATTTAATTAGATTCATAAAATGTTTTTGGAATTGTCATAAAGCGGAGCGCGAGGCTGTATGAACCTCAACCGCACGTCTACAATATATTTTTCCTGTATTGATATTAAGTTTTACACAATGTAAGGAACTAACGGAGGATACTTGAAATAATCATAACACAAAAAGGTCTAAATCATGAATGGGCTTAACCATTTCGTTACAATTTTCGGTAACTTTTAATACCAGCTGCCTTTTCTTCGAGATTGACATTAAATTCCTTAACGAACTCTTTAAGTATTACCTCCTTACGACTTGACCCAGCTGTTCTTTCTGTAGTCAAACGAGGTTCAAATCTATTCTTATTATTATATATGGTCGATCTGTGATTTTTCACTTTTTGCAATTAGGTTCTTTGGTAAATTTTATTTTATTTTGTAATTCCAAATACGGGATTAAACAAAATTTAAACTCACATACTTCTCACTAGTTTGGGTTTAAAAATAAAACATATTAAAAACCTAATTTTTAATACCTAAAATTAAATTTAATTTTTAATCCCAACATCGGCATCACATCAAATGAAAATTTTGTTTTTAATATCATGATAACTTTTCTTTCTGTTAGTCTCCCTGCGACATTTTTTAAAAAACAAAACAAAGTTATATATACTTGTATGAAACCCGCTCTACCAGAACGTCTCAAATAAAAAATGTGAAAAATGTCTGACTTATTTTTTAAATATGCGTACTTATTTTGAAAATTTCATTAAATTTTATTAATCGTCGGCAGGGTCAATACTGTATAAAATACAATAGTACTAAAACGAGCAATGGTGCTAAAAAGTTTTCCCTATGGACATTTTTGTTCATAATATAATTTCAATAGATCGAAAATTTAAAGTGAGAAGAATTGTCTAAAACGATTGGCTTTTATTGACATTCAGTATAAGTTTACTTAATCTAAAAATTAAAGTAAAGATTGATACATCGCTAACACAAAGGCCATAAATAAATGTAATGAATATATATATTTTTTTTAACCTTAATAGCTATTTTAATATTGTAGAATACTACTTATGTTTTAATCTCCATAAATCGGCCAGACTGTCTAAATAATTAATATTAATTTAAATTAAGTCTAAAAACATATATGCAAATAGATATTTGGCGCGGAAAAACATTCAGCATATCCCTTCAATGTTACTGCAACATTTGCAGCCTGTTGGGCCACAGCGATGGTCTGGATTGAGGCATCTCGTGTATGTTGACCAACGCGCTTCTGAAATTTTATGAAAAGATAAAGAAATTCATAAATTCTTCGTTCATTAAGAACTAGTACAGAAATATATTTCCGTTTAGAGTATTTGTTGGAGACTTACAATCTTCTTTTGGCTGTAGTGTGCTGAAGGTTGTCTTCAAGCTCCTCGTGTGTTGCTGGTTGATTGGCGTAATTCTTTGATTTAATATACCCTCAGAGAAAATAATCTTGAGGCCTTAAATGATCTTGGCGGACATTTGACTGAGCCATTTCCCGAACTTAACATGTCGCCAATCTTTGCACTCAACGTGTCTATGGCTAGACGTGAAACATGAGGCGGCGCACCGTCTTGTTGGAAATAGAGATCGTCCTCGTCGATGTCATCAAATTCCGGAAAAAAATAGGTCAACATTATGTTATAACGCTCGCTATAGATGGTAACGGTACTTTTTCGAGCGTTGTGCCAAAGTGAAACGTGACATAATAAAATGGCAAACCTAACAGAAATCACTGACAAAATTTGATACAAATCCGTAAACAAACATGGCCGCCGCGTGCTGTAAAAACACGTCATCCCTATTGGAAGACACTTTATATGTCTTTTTGTCCAAAATTTTATGAGCGCGATCGCTTTACTTATTTTTAGTTATGACCAAATGCATCTATTTTTTATTAAATTTTAAGGCTCTAAATATTTTTGAACTTTTTCGCTAGATTATCCAATATTTATTTATTTATTTATTTATTTACCAGAGTAACAGTACATTACATTACAAGGTAATACAAATCACAAAGTAATCCGACAGAGGAAAACGAGTTTCCTGTTCGTCAGTCTGGAGACGTGAGACAAGCACGGCAAGACTCTATATATTAAAGAAAAGTATTTGGCATTAATAAACATCACAAATTTCACTTGCTGGTATTCCATAATTCAAATGGTTTCTAGAGGATGTAAGGTGCTCCAGTGAATTGAATTTTAAACACAAAAAAAAAAATAATAAAACAAGAAAACACGTTGATTTCGGTTGCACCGTAGTTAACACTCTTTACAGGTGCATTTTTTATATCATAAAAGTGTATAAAAATATATTTACTCTAATTTTGATCGGTCAGTAGTGGTCTGATCTGAACAATATATTTCAAGATTGCAACGATGTTTTGGATAATAATTTATACCAAATTTTGTTAAGATACCTTGTCACCTTGTTTTGTAATTGACTTTGATCGGCCAGTTTGTAAGGCAGCTATATGATATATGCTATAGTGGTCCAATATAGGCGGTTCCGACAAACAAGTAGCTGAATAATAAGAAAAGAAGGTGTGCAAAATTTTTAGAAATACAAGTATATCTCAAAAACTGAGGTATTAGTTCTCGTATATACAAACGGAGATACAAACGGCTAAATCGAGATCGTCCCGCTGATAATTTATATATGTATATGATACCAATAAAGTAGGCATATATAATATAATATTATATATTACAAACATTATGGCAAACTTAACATACCCTGCTCAAGGTATAATTATATTCTATACCCTGTATTCGGTATAAATAACACTTACTTTTATTAGTCTGGAGTGTTGTTGCCTTGGTGGTACGATGAGCTTGTGAGTCGAAATATTATTCTTATTTGTCATTCTTAACCTCTATTAGATTTATAGCCTGATTGAAGGTAAAGGGAGAAGTATTTAATCCCGTTTGTAACTAGTTAATTCAGACGACTTAATATTAAACTTGAAACAGGTAGAATCCATCGATATGAGAAATTTCTTCAAGTAAACATGTGTCATAAAACTAACACCCAGCATAGCCACAAAACCTTCGAAAACAAAAACTGACCCAATATACTATACATTAGGAGGTTAGGTTTCGGTTTGAGTCGAAGCGTCTTGCACAAATTAGTTGAGCTTTCAGCAAATTCACCTCACTCAGCGAAGGTATGACATGATGTTTCAATCGGTCTGTCGAATACTGGACAGTCGAGAAGAAAGTAATTTCTTCCTTTAAGGAAAGCTTAAAGATATAAAACAAAAAATAACAGTATTCGGAAGGTTTGTTAAATGCTTAATATAATTATTATATAGCAAATATAAGTGTAAGTAAGTATAAAAAGTGTTTAGTTTTTGAAAAAATTGTCTTTATTATATTTACATAAATAATTTTAATTTAGGTACATAACTTCCGAACATGTTCAGTTTTTCCTTTAACAGTTGCTGCAACATTGGCTGCCTGCTGAGCCACAGAAATAGTCTGGATTATGACATCACGAGTATGTTGACCGACACGCTCCTGAAATGTTACAAAAAGAAAAGGGAAATTCACATGTAAATGCTTCGTTCTTCAAGAATTAGTACAGAAATGTATTTCCGTTTAGAGTACTTTTTGGTGGAGACATACAATTTTCTTGCCAATCTTTCTCAACCATCCTGCTTCAGTTTGACCAGCGAAGACGGCAATGAAGACAGCCAAGAGAACAAAAATTTTATTGAAGTTCATTTTATTAGTATGAGCTTATTTTAAGCTTGGAAATGCAATCAAGTGCCACTTTTCGTTATCAGCGCGTTGTCGGGGATTTCTTTCTACTTGTATGACACTCAGTGCTTGACAAAGGAGTTATGTATGTATGTATTTATTTATTTGCAGCATAAAAAAATTTGGGTGGACAAAGTTAGTAAGACAAATCCAAAAATAGCAAGCACTCGTGTATAGAAATTATTTTTAGGCCTTAGCATCTTGCCGTTGCTCTTTCTTATCACTAAAACTCTAGAATGTCGACTGTGGAAAAATCCCCTTTTTAAGCCATCGCCGACCTCGCAATTGCGGTTGTCTATAGACAGTAAGTTCAAACGTTATCTCATAGAGAACTTCTTATGAAATCTAAAATCTGGAAAATCCTAAATCTATCACGGTAATCTTAAATATATAAGGGCAACCATTTATCACATAGGAATACAGTTTAAAATTTGGATATATGAACATTGAATACTAACTTGATTACATTATAAAAATATTGATTCGATATTATTCTTCGTTCAATACGCTCGCAAACTAATATAAAAAACTTAGTCAATCTTTAAGGTTTTCTTACAAAAAGTATTTTTCTCATTTTCTTGAGAATTATTATTTGGCGCTTGTTAATCTTTATCAACAATATTTTCTTAGCTATTCTGGCATCATTTATATTTATAAACAATGCTTCATTCTGAGGCAATTTTTAAAGTTTGAAAAAATTCAGCTTCAGTTATTAATCACCTGCAAATAAACCGCTCGTTTGCTTTCAGTTTGAGACTTGGAAATAAAAAATCACTTGTATTGACATTATTTAAGCAAATATCTACACTATTTCAACAATTTTTATAAGAAGTGCACGTATATAAATTCAGCTTTGTTTCATTCATAAATGTCTTTATACTTATAAATCTAAATGAAAAACGTGAACTGAAATTTTTGATGCAACTATTCAAAAGAAAAAACATTTCTTTATCATTAATTATAGCTTTTAGTTTGAGTATTATACTATAGGGTATTTTTCTTATATCATTACATTATATTGATAAATTTATATCACACATTAATTGTTATTATTATACTATTAATAATTTTGATAAATTTAATAATACATGATATATTGAAAATAAATATTTTTTTTTATATACAAATTATTTACTTTCCAAATTTTAACAAGTAGCCTTAATTTTTTTTATTTCGGTATATTGATGAATCAATTTTCCTGCAGGGCAGTTGTGCGAGTAATTAAATAAAACGTCTTTATAGACAAACACCCATGCTTATTGAATGTTTGAAGTGTTTGCTATTTCTTTCAATTATATTTCTATCTTTCGTTTGTTTCATTTCTTACTTATTTTTATTTCTTTACGTTCAATTCAGTAACAGCACATATATTAATTATCTGTTCAGTATATGAAAATTATTTGTGAAATATCATGAGTATTGTTTTTCTGGGTATTACGTGATTCCTCTTTATTACGGGTTCGGTTTTTTTGTATTTCTTTTATCCAAAATCGAAACTATTTTATCAAACATTCCACTTTTGTTGCAGGAAACTCAATATTTTGTTTACGTCGTTTTGGAAAACACGCTTTAAATAACCCTAAACATAACATAAAATACAAACAAAATTGGTTTCGATCGGTAAAATAAAACTTTGATATTTATAGCGTTGTCATAGGTCAGCTCGAAAGCATAATAATTTGTGAAATTATTAAAACGATGTTCGCATGGAGATTTCGTTTACTGCTCAGGAGGATGAATGAACTAGGTCGAAGAGTTCTGTTGTCAAATTTTCACGTACATATTGAATTAATACTTTACATTTAGTTAGTTGTAATTGTTTAGGTTGAATAAGAACAGTGTGATTAATGGATTTATTTAAATATGCCAAGCTTACAAAAACAAAAACAAAAAAACTATTATATAGTGGAATTATTGATCTGTTGCAATAACTATAGTTTTGTTCTTAGGCATGTTCTTGTAAAAACTGAGCTATACTCCTAGCATACCTTGGAGGAAGCAATTTCAATCTATTATGATTATTAAATATATTATATTAGGTGTAGTGTAAATGAATTCATTATTTTTGCATGAAATTGAATGCTTTAATTATTACTTTTCGTATCCAGCCTTCTTCAAATGGTTCCAAACTGTTTTTTGTGCAATATTTAGGTCCTGGACAATCGCAATCGATGTTTGGACTTGGCGTTTTCCATTATTTGAGCGATTTTTTCGATAATTGGTCTCCCAGAGCGTGGTGCATCTTTGATATCGAAATTACCGGAACGGAATTGACGAAACCAAAATCGCGCATGATTGGCTGTTACAGTCTCAGAACCATAAACGCTATTGACTTTTTCAGCCGTCTAGCTTGTGTTTTCGCCCTTATCGAAGAAAAACTGTAAAATATAGCTATTTTCTCTTTTCTAGTGTCCATCGTTGACGCGCGTTCAAACAAAACGAAAGGTCAACTTTCTAACGCCATCTAGCCAAACCCGATCGGACTTACACAACGCTAGGTACAGATAAATAACGCCATCTAATGGAAAAATAATGGATTTGCTTATACTACACCAATAATACGAATATTACATATTCAATTGTTTCTGATGTTAATTTTGGTCATACTTGAGGAAGTATGGAAGTTCACATAATATTGTTGGATTATGACTCATAATTTATGAGTGAGTGCCTACAAGTTATTTGCCTGACAATTTGCTCACACTTCTAGATCGACTTAGTAAAGTCTAGTGATCCTATCAAAGCTCATACAACTTTTTGCGCCGTTTCCATAATGCGAACTACTCTTTAACTATCACTATAAGGTAGGGTTCAATTGTAATTGTTTTTAAAATGACTTAGGTTATCACAAGCGTAACATTTAAGAACCATAACTATAGTTCCTTCTATCTCTGCGATCTAGTATCAGAATTAGATATAGAAAAATATTTTGGGAAACATATTTTTATTGTAGTATTTTTACATTAATCTCCATAAATTATTCACTATTTTCTAAATAAATAAATATTATTTTTATGTTAGGTACATAAATGCTTTTGTAGCAACTTCCGAGCAGATTCAGTTTATCCTTTCAAAGTTGCTGCAACATTGGCGGCCTGTTGAGCCACAGCAAGTCCTTGAATGGTGGCATCTCGGGTATGTTGACCAACGCGCTCCTGAAATTTGTTAGAAATAAATTAAAATTAATAAGATGTATAGAAATGTGGATCTATATAAAAATTCTTTAAGTGTTGAAAGGCAACTTACAATTTTTTTGCCAATTTTTTTCAACCATCCCGCCTCGGTTTGACCAGCGAAGACGGCGATTAAGACAGCCAGGAGCACAAAAATTTTATTGAAGTTCATTTTGTTGTTGTGAGTTGATTATATATTAATATAAATATTTTTACGCTTGGTGTATTTCTACAATACTTTATTCGAAGCTTGAATAGGGTTGATTGATAATTAGCCAGCTCGGCAATGCTTTTATATTCGTAACACACGGAAATATAATCAAACGCCACCTTTCATTATCAGCGCGTTGGCGGGGATTTCCTTCACTTCACGTATTGTATTGTTGCTGTATGTATATGCATGCTGGTTCGAATGTGTGCACAGTTCTATATATTGTAGTTTTTTGGTGATCAATTTAAATTTCGGTTAGTGCATAGTCCTTAAAAAAAGAAATACTAAAATGGTGTGCATAAGTAGTCTTATAAAAGTTTATCTGCTAATTCTAAAATAATTATAATTTTAATTTATAATCCTAATGTATATGGACTAAAACTAAGGTAATAAAGGAACATTTTAACTAACTTTAATCAAAAATATGCGGGTCAGTACATTTTACTACCGCAATAAAAGTATTATATAGCAATTATTGTACAGGCAGGCCAACAATCTTGAAAATGAAAGCACTCTTGTGTAGAAATAATTTTTAGCATCTTGCCGCTGTGTTTTCTTATCACTAAATACTACTTTAGAAGAGTATCTGTGCAAAAATCCCCTGCTTAAGCTCGTAAGCGTAGCATTTCTTTTATATATAAAAGCATTGCATTGAAAAGATCAATCATTAAACTCCTCACATTCGCTGCCTTCGCTTCATTCACGATGAATACAAAAATCGCGGTAATCTTTGCTGTCTTTTTGCTTATTGCGGCTGTGGGAATCACACAGGCCGATTGGTTGGACGATCTCAACGAGGGAACTGTGAGTTATTTGTTTAATGCACTCATATCTTTCGGTATTAATTTTAAATGTTTTCTTTTTCAGAGTCAAGTGGTTAATGCGGTGAACGAAAATGCGGAAAAGATCAATAAAATTGCTACAAATATTGATGTTCTTGGAAAGATGTTAAGAAATTTGGATCCAGATACGAAAGGGGAGGAATAATGTTTTATTCCTTTTATTTTTAAGTAAAGATATCGATATTGGCTGTGTAGTTTCTGTATATTTAGTAAATTTTGTAAAATGTGAAAAAATTTATAAATTTTTTATTTTATATAAACAAATATTTACTTCATAAAACTAATAATTTATATAAAAAATAGACCGATCCTTGAAATAAGCGTTCCAAAAGGGTTAGAACTACACATTTCATATGATCGGTGTTTTTTAGATTTTCAGCGGTTTTAGCTCTAATTACAATATATGAAAAATGGAAATACTTCATTGATTCGAAATCCAAAAATTTCGGTGAACAAATTTATTACTTGAAGAATCGTTAAATCATTATTGGTGAAGTTAATGATCTCAGATTACATATCAAGTAATATTTACAATTGTTTTAAAAATGAAATAAGTTTTCTGGGTCTTTTTCCTCTAAGTTTGGTACAGACGCAGATCACAAAGCGAATATTAAAATAATACATCAATGTTTTACAGTTTATTTTCAAAGATTATTATTTATATTTCTCAGATGCAGCTTTCTTTGTTAGGAATACCTTTTATTACCCTGAACAGGGTATATTAAGTTTGCCACGAAATTTGTAACACCCAGAAAGAAACGTCGGAGACCCTATAAAATATATACATAAATGATTTTAAGATATCGATCTGAAATTTGCACCTGTCCTTTCTTGACGTTCAGATCAGATCACTATATCATATAGCTGCTATACGAACTGAACGATCGGAAACAAGTTCTTGTAAGATGCCTTTGTATTTGTGAAGGGTATTATAGTTTCGGTGCAACTGAAGTTAACATTTTTTCTTGTTTTATATATGTATACTACTAATGACTATAATTATAACTTAATTCTTTGTGATTGGCATCTCGTGGTATTTGCATGTGTCGTATTTTCAGTCTGAATTTCAGTTTAATGTTTCAGTCTATAAATTCTTATTTTTTTCTATTACCCCAGTGACCGAAAACATGACCAATGGTCTTCTTTCCATAATCTAGTTCTAGATATCTTTTAATTACATTAAACATATTAATTTTACACAAAAAGTGTGATTTTTTCATACTATAAAAAATAGTAAAGTACTCTCATTGTACACGCTTCCGAACTCAGTTGTTTTCTGTATCCAAAGTCAAAAAATACCAGCTCAAACATATGAAGAATCCCCGTTTAAAAGAAATTTTATACAATTAGTAGCCAACATATCATTTCTTTGCTTTGTCTGAGTTGACTCACAGCAATGGCACACGCATAGGGAAATCACTTGATTGGTTGCGACCTCTTGCTTATAAAACTCAAAGCGGGCCTATAATTTGAGTTGGCAATGACAGCGCGCAAATTATTGAATATAATTGAAATAACATAAAATAATTATCCAAACTTAATTTGAAATTAATTTTTGTGATGTGCTTATTGCCCTCGCTGAGCGTTGGTAAAGCTTAACTAATTAAATTCAATTTCCTTCCATAAAACATAAGGAGCGCGAAAATTTTCGTTTTTGGACAAAGATATTTATTCATTCGTCTAGATTAATGTTGTGGCCTTCAAAATAGTTTCCCTTCGATATTATGCACTTATGCCAGCGCTTTTTCTAATAATCGAGACCGTTCTCAAACTCAGTTTTTGGGATAGTCTTTGGCTCTTTCAGAGATCTGCTTTTAATGTCATCTATGCTTGTAAAACGACGACCCTTTAAGGTTCTCTTTAATTTTGAAAATAGGAAAAAGTCACACCATGTAGCCATGTCTGCCGAATATGGATTCTGGGCATTGATACAGTATGGTTTACCAAGAATTCACGAACAAATTCTTTGATCCTCTTTTTTCGAAAATATCTTTATTTATTGAATCTGCTTGTTCAAAACCTAAAATAAGTAATAAAATCTTAAATCTGTTTAACTAGACAAACTCAGGGCTGTAGGTGAGCCTGTTTGGTGATACGTTGCTGGTAGATCTTTTTTTTAACCTAGTTTGATTACAGCGTTGTAGCAAGGTATTAGCGAATGGATGATTACGGAGCTTATGCTCATAGTTCTTCCAGCTGTTCTTGAAGACTTTCTTTATCATAGGAATGACAAGATGTTTTTGAATATTTTCATTACGAATGCACCATGGTGAACCCGTTATAGCTTTAGATTTTTTTCTTTTAATAAACGAAAATCGCCAAGCTTATACTTGCAAAACATGTCTATTCTTAGTGGCTGCTGTAGACAAGGTATGCCCAGGTTAGGATTAAACCTTTAACCTTTCTCCTCGATCTTTTGAAACTATTTTCCAATTAATTGTATGAAGGTTGTAGAGCTTACGTTCTATAACGATTTATCTTTGGAACAGCGAACTGCTCGTAAACATTTAACGAGGTCGTATTGTGATTTCACTTGGACACGAATCGCCGGTGCAAAATAAACGAAATCGTTCGGATGAGAAATTATGCGAAATTAAAAGAGTTGTCAAAAGAACAGAGTTTTGTGACTGAATACTGTAGTAATATAAAACTCATTGCGTTACAGTTTCTACAAAAAAAATTCCTTAAAGCACGTACAGTTAACGCCCACTTGAAGAAAGAAATAGGACGAAACAAATGAAATTTTAATAAGACGCACGTTCAGTATATGGTATGCAAAGTTATAAGAGGGTATACCTACATGTTCCTTCTCGATTGAAAATGTAACAATGTTTCACACGCCTCCTGGGAAATTGCCAGGTTGTGCAAGAATTATGTCAAATTTCGACATTGTTACACATACACATTTATAATATATATATAGGTATAAATATATATTCTTATCGTCTTCATTATGGCCCACGGCATTGTTTGTTCTACTCAATTCGCCTCATTTGGTTTAATTTTTGGTAGCATTTGTAAAAATCGCGAGCAGATTGAACGAATTATTGACAGCTTAAAAGTAACTGAAAAGTGATGAGATGATTACAAATAACAGAATCAAATTTTAGGTATTCAAATGCAAGTATCTCAAACCTACGTTCATATACTATGATACAAGTATACACCTATATAGGTATGAATTGTTGATTTGTTGGTAAGAACAAGGATTTTAGGGTGGTAACCAATGAGCGCTCTCGGTCATTAGAAGATGCGAGGCGTTAAGTAGACAGGATGAGTGAGCGTGAGTGTCGAAGTTTTGTCATGTGACATTCACTCATTTGTGAAGGCGTGTATAAGCTGGATTAAATTGACAAAAAAGCGCATAATAGAAGAAATTAATTTGAATAATAATGAGGTGGCTGATAATGCGGGTTTGAATGTGTGTATGAAATGAGCAGCTGAATTGCTGATTATTAAATTCTGGTACGAAATAAGGTTTTTCATTTAATTTGCTTTAAATCGTCATTGCTATAATTTCCATATCCGCATGTGATGCCTTCATTTCATTGGCTATTTTTTTGAATTTCATGCTTGGATTTTTCATATCCATTCATAATGATTTCCATATATTTTTGCACATTCCACTTACTTTCATGTGCATATCTCACAGGGAGTTAAATCGGGGGTCGTAAATCGTGATTTGATGTAATGACGTGCAGCACTTGAAAATATGTCACATTTTCCCGTTATTTCCTTAACAAATACATCTATTGATATAACATCCAATAACCAACTACGCAGATTGCACGCTGCATTCCACTCCAGTATTGCCTAAGTACTTGTCAATGTGTGTGATGATGGGTGTTTCTTAGCCCCCCCCCCGCAGCGAAAGGATAACATGTCACAGTAGGAGTTTAATAAATTCTGCTTAAAAGGTGTGAGTATTCTCGCGTTGTTCCACATAAGCGCTTTTTTATTTCATTTTCAACACCCATCCAAACGTACAGGCACCCATATTAAGCTTAGAAAATATTAGCACCGGGGCGCCGTGAGGCCTTAGTGAATTTTTATAGCCCCGGGCGTTGCTGGAAAAATGATTGAAAACGCATGTTGCTTGAATAATGCACTTGAAATCTATTTGCTGCTGTTTTCCGCTTTTATTAGTTTCGATAAGTGTTTGTAATTGTATTGATTTTCAACTTTGCGCCCAATTCCCGCTAATGTGCCGCCGTTTACACTTTTATTGGGTTTGATGCGTGCGATATGATGCCACGTGTGCGGGGTGAAATCTAAAATTTGAATATAGTTTTGCATATTTTTTGGTATTAAAAAGTAGTAAGGTATTTTTTGAAAGTGGAAATTGTATTACTTTGTATTTCTAAATATGACAGTGTGACAAGTTAGTCAAATATTATATATTAAAAGTGTTGTCGATAGCCCAAAAACAACAGTTTGTCAAAAGTGTTTTAACTCATAATGACAAAATCAACTATTTTGCATTGTTTTTATGATTAAAAAATACACTTTTCAAAACATTCCAGCAAATGAAAATATTGTTTTTTGAGTGATAAGTGAATATAAACAATAAATCACACAAAATTATTAAAATGGAAACAAGAAAGTCATGAGAACGTAAAAAAGTGTGTTTAGTCATACTACTTGCCCTTAGTAAAGTTTATCTTGCCCCAATGGTTCTTACTGGATATTGTCCAATAGGCATTCACGCTGTAAGGCTAAAAATCCATACGGACGCAAACTGTCAAAGTTGTATGAAAGAAAGTAAATGGCAAATATCAAAGCATGGACAACAATGGAGAAGAACCATTGTCCAGCATTTGCTAGAGGTTGAAACATCTCAGCAGTCAAACGTTCGGCGAACCAGGAGACATAGCCGTAACTGACATTAGCCGCCTCAACAAATTTGTGGTCGGCTCAAAGCGATTTGTTGCTTTAATTTAAAAAATGGCTTATACGACAAAA